ATATATAGTTGTTACAAGTGGCAGTTTTATTGCTGCAGTTGTGGCTGTTTTGAGAACACTCGTCAATAATATCTTAGCCCTCCATTTGAGCCAAAAGAGTGCGGCTCACGCTCTTTTAATTTAATCATGTAAGCAAGCTTGTGAGATACGAGTCTCGGATCACTTCTTGTAGCACGCGAGGATTGAATGGAAACATTCGAAAAGGTGCATACAAGAGTGTACAAGAATGGCTATTTAGCGCTGATTTATATCATTCGGTAAGCAAATATTCGACTGGTGCTTGGGCGCCCGCTCAGGGCAGCTACCAGAAACGAGGAAATTTACTTGTTGAATGATAAGACATCATTATGATCTTACCTTGGCAAGTATATCCATCTCCAGTGAATCCAGGATTGCAAGAGCAGTTGAATGACCCCTCAATGTTTGTACAAGAGGCGCTGCCCTTGCTGCAGTTATGGGTATTGTTAACACACTCATCGATGTCTGAAATGGAATCAACAGATCATACTCATGTACTGAGGCTGTAGGGATGAAAGGGAGGAGAAATTGTCCCAATATACGATCATCACCTTCCGAACGATATTAGGTTACCATTGATGTTGCCTTTGTTTCGGCTAGTTCTATAGACTTTTCGCGCTGATACGACAAAGCATCACTGTATGGCACCTGTGCAGTTGTGCCCATCACCACTGAATCCTGTTTTACAAATGCACTTGAATGATCCCTCGGAATTGTTGCAAGTGGCAGTTTTATAGCTGCAGTTGTGGCTGTTTTGAGAACACTCGTCAATGTCTGAAATGAAATAACTGAGTAGTCTTGAACTTCATATATTCATTGTAACTGAGTAGTCTATATTAACTATGCTGATAAAGAATAACATTGGAAGTGAGCTGAAAACTGGCTTTCCAAACTGAAAAAAACACAGGGTGCTCTTAACAAAAAGGGACCCCTAACCTCACTCTTAATGCAGGCTGGCTCAAACTCTTTCTGTCAAAGCCATAAGATTTACTTAGTACATGAGTTTACATCCGAAAAGCTATGCATCGTTTAGGAGCGTTCTTACGAGAAAGACTACCAATGGAATTTTATCTATTTAAAAACATAGTGTTCTGCAGGATTTTACCTTCGCATTCATTTCCATTCCCGCTGAATCCAGGATAGCAAGAGCAGTTGTGAGATCCCTTGGTATTTGAACAGTTGGCGTTCTCACTACAATTGTGGTTTTGAAGACACTCGTCTATGTCTGAAATGGAAGTAAAGGAACGCTCTCTTGATCATTTTCGTGGATGAAAAGGAGGGTACGGGAGTGATAGGCTACTGTCAAATGCAAAACCGATTCAACCACCTGTTAATCCAGTTCTACAGGGAGAATAGTAATTATCTTAGGTGGGATAATCGTTATAAATTTTGAACCCATCTTGCCCGCTCGGGATAGTCCGTTTTGATCCCGCGCAAGAAAAACATTTTGTGTAATCGTAGTCGTTGGACAATGTTGGTGGTGGAGACACGAAGAGCGACAGATGACATTCAAAACAAAGGAAACATGACCGACTGTCGTTAAAATATTGTGCAGCAAACATAGTTCCTTTTTTTCTGGCTCTCGAAATAAAGAAGTCATCTTTAATTCTAAATAAAGCGAAATATTTTTCTAAATAAGGAATATTTTGTTGACTGAGCTTGTTGTTCAGGAGGGCTCATTTAGCCTCACTTTCCGAGTTTGTTTCTTTGTAGTACTCAACTTCGTCTTGGTCCACAAAAGCGCAGAAAGAACTCAGCCATATCCTACAGTCTTCATCTCACGCCCTGATCAGTAACGTATAACTATAACATCGCTAGCATCGTTCTGCTTGGCTATCGAAGCAGGCAAGATGGGCCCATCCTGCCCACGCGGAATAGCTCGCTTTGATCTCAAGCATAAGTTCTTGATTCCTGGACAATGTCGGTGATGGAGACGCAAAAAATGGCAGACGACAGTCAATTAAAGAAAACAAAAACGGCTCTTGAGTTTACATCGCTAAAAACACATTTGGCTTTCTTTTCTGGCTCTCAAAGTGAACATGGCATTCTTAATTCTTTATAAAGCGAAATGTCTTTGCAATATAGTAAATCACTTTTTGACCAGGCCTGTTCTATAATGATGGCTGGATATATATAAGCTTCGTTCTCTTGTCAAAAGAACTCGGCCAATATCCAGTGATCTTGACCTCACGCTTCACCAATAACGCAGACTGATCATGCCCTAAATGATATCAGATTGCCATGCATATTGACTTTGTTTCGGGCAGGTTTGTAGATTTTTCGCTCAGACATGTTCTGAACACAGTTTAGTACGTACCTATGCAGTTGTGTCCGTCACCAATAAATCCTGGTTTACAAACACACTTGAATGCTCCCACGGTATTAGAGCAAGTGGCGGTTATGTTGCTGCAGTTGTGAATGTTTTGAGAACACTCGTCAATGTCTGAAGTTAAATCAGAAGCCCTTATCAGTACATCAGTCACAACAATAAAGAGTAAAAAAAAAAAGGAGGGTATCGAAATTAGGCTTCCAATTTAAAAACCATAGGGTTCTCTTAGTTAAAGAAAATTAACCTCACTTCCGTGACGGGTGGCTAAAAGGCACTCTAACTCTTGAGAAAAAGACATAACATGTACTTCCTTTAAACCATTCCATTTCAGGTACCCATTAGCAGACCTCTCGCAGGCTCGCGTTGCTCGACGTCCCATGCTCTCCCGGGGGAGAGGAAACGCAGATAAAGTTGCAGTTAAACTCAACCGAAACTATTCCATTAAGGCATGGTATACTCTGTTCAATGCAAAAGGTATTTTTGATTTGATATCTTTACACAAATGACTCAAATCTGATGCTGAACCGGCACATTGGTTACAAAGCTAATATTTTTTTAAAAGATAAAACTGTAACTGAAACATCAGTGAATGCTCATTGGTCCATATAAATTCGCAGATGGATGTATTCTCACCCAATTCTAAACTGTTAAAGTTTATTTGACTTTCTGAATATTTACTGATGCCTACCTAGACAGGCGTTGCAACTTTTGAAGCAATTGCGCAGCATATATTGTGGAGTTTTTGTGCATTCACCGGTTGATGCCCAGTATGTACATTGGTGGTTTTTATCCTCACTTCTTCATGCCAGGTTATCCGTCTGCCGAACTTTTGTTTTTTTCAAAATTTTGTCTCCCGCTCCTTCCTTCGTAAATTAATTTCTTATAAACCTGCGTTTCTTCGCTTGCGGGAAGATTTGAGGCGAGTTAAGGAAAGGTGGGCACCTTTTCTTCTTTGAGTACACCGTCATCAAATCTCCGCCAGGTTTATCGCCTTTTGCAGGGAGGTTGCCAAGTTTACGTGCTCAAAATCTCGCGCTCTTAACAATTAACAATTATTGAACGAGGTTGAGCAAAAAATATCGTGATTTTCCCGTGGCGAGCGGATCAATTATTTGCCGAAGCCGAAGGCTGCGGCAAATAATTGATCTGCGAGACACTGACAAATCACGATATTTTGCGATAACCGAGTTCAGTAATTGTTTTATCATTCGATCACCGAGTTTGTTTTCATTTTTTTGGGGGAAGCGTCAAGCAAGTTTCTTGTCAATTTTTTGGGGGAAGCGGCAAGCGCGCACTGCTGCCAGAAATTAGACGGTTTCCTTCTCAGCTAAATAATTTATTCGGTGCACTTTAAATTGTAAGTACAGTCAACTGTTAATTAACAAAATGTATGCCTTCAAATGGCTGAAACTTCCAGGAACAAGTTCACAGACCTCAAGGATTTGAAATCCGCAAAAAAAAGCTCGGGGAAGCGATCGCGATCCGCCATTTCACACAAGAGTGACCACAAGAGCGACCACAAGAGCGTGGTTACTATTACGCATTGGCAGAATATTATTTGCAGCAATAACGGAGTTAGACGGTATTACGAATGAGCAGACCATCATTTGTAGGCATTTATTTGCAGGTCACGTGGTGGGCTTCCGGCCAATGAATATGGGGGAAAAATCTATCGAATGATAATATGAAATACCTGTGCAGTTATATCCATCACCTCTGAAACCAGGATTACATGAGCAGTTGAACGTTCCCTTGCTATTAGAACAAGTGGCGTTGTCCTTGCTACAATTGTGGATATTTTCGGCGCACTCGTCGATGTCTGAAATAAAGCAACAGTTGTGTTTAGTGTCGTGACAAACAAAAAAATTACGAGCAGAGGAGCGATCCCTCGATATTTTTGCAAGTGGCACAGTCCTTACTGCAGTTATGGGTATCGCTAAGACAGTCATCAATGTCTGAAATGGAGTCAACGGACCATACTCATACACTGAGGCTGCAGGGATAAAAGGGAGGAGGAAGTGCTCCAATATCATAGTATCATCTTGATTGGCTTTGTCTCAG